ACTCTCATACACTCATTTCTGTTTGTTGTTGTTCTTCTCTTTATTATACGCACTTTACGTTCTCTCTCTTTGCAACCTGTTATTGTGTGGCGCATATGTATTTGGTGCCCCCCGACCGTAGCTGCTTTTAACGTCCGAACACTGAGCCGAATAAGACAACGGGGTTCCCTAGCTGGGACTCTAGAATCTCGCACCATCGATGTGTACTGCGTCTCCGAAACGCGCATACAGCATCCAAGTAGCGTCATTCATTTGACTTGACCATATCAAAAATAAAGAACCAACTCGATTCACGCTTCGTGTATCTGGAAACCCTGATGCTGCTTCCCGTGGCCTCTCTGGCGTAAGTATAGCATTGAGTCCTAGGGCAGAACTAGTTCTCTTAGAGTGGATCCCAGTAGACAGTCGTTTGTGCGCTGTCCGACTAAACGGAAAAATAAGGATCCGAAAAGATAGGGACACTCGTCGTTGCCTCTTCGTCGTCTCTTCCTATTCTCCAACTGACTGCAGCTCAGATAATGTAAAAGATGAGTTTTACAGAAAGCTTTCCGACCTTCTTCGAAAAGCTAGACGCTCTGATGTAGTAATAGTGGCTGGTGACTTTAATGCTCAAGTAGGTAAACTAAGCGATAGGGAAAGACACCTAGGTGGATCTTATGGTGTCGTGGCTCAAAGAACAGATAATGGCGATCGTCTGTTGCAGCTATGCTTAGATAACCGCCTGTTTCTTGCAAATACTAACTTCAAGCATAAGGAAAATCATCTTTTAACATGGCGACCCCCTAATTCGTCCTAACGTTGGACCCAAATAGATCACATCGCTATCGGCCACCGATGAAGGGGCTCAATAGAAGACTGTCGCTTATTCTGGAGCACATGCTTAGATTCAGATCATGCTCTAATGCGAGCGCGTATCTGTCTGCGTCTTACTCGACGTAAGAAAGATGCTGCAGGGAAACCTCTTAGGGTCATATTTTAATGATAGTCAAGCTAAGAGTATATTTCAGGAACAACTAGGAAAACAGTTAGGCAGCCATGTAGGTGATGCCCACCCCGAGGTAGTGTGGAATGATATCCGGAAAGCTGTGGAAACAACAGTGATGTCTGCTAGTACGAAAAACCACAAGGTTAGGGAGCAACCCTGGATCTCAGCAGCACCTACCGCACTGATAGATGCTCGAAAACTCACTCCATCTGGATCTGAACATAACGAAGAGCGGAGTCAGCTTAAGCGTAGGCTGATAAGGAGCCTAAGCAACGATCGCGAACATTGGTGGGTAGCGAAAGCAAGAGATGGAAAAGGCAGAGGCAATAGACAACAGTAGACAACTGTTCAGACTTGTTAAGGAAACCGGTATTAGGAACCCGACTTTTAGCGAAACAATCTCAGAGAAAGACGGACATATTATTCATTCTCAATCCAGGAGATTGGATCGATGGGCAGAACACTTAAGAAATCAGTTCAACTGACCTTCAGCCACACTTCGGTTTTTCACGATTTCCAGTCAACCTGAATGACAAGTTAAAGTAGGTCCTCCAACTCTACGAAGTTGAAAAAGCTATAGGAAATCTGAAGGGTGGTAGAGCAGCAGGCCCTGACAGGTTTACCCCTGAGATTTTTAAGGATGGTGGTCCAGTATTAGCAGTGAGATTAACTGAGGTCTTAGGTAGAATCTGGGAACTGGACGTAATCCCATCTGACTGATCTCAATCACTGATTGTGACAATCACAGAGGAATCAGTTTAACTAATATAGTGTCTAAAATATTAGCTCCAATAATACTTCGACGCCTAACTAAAGCTCGTGAAGAGCCAACTAGAGTAAACCAGGCTGGTTTTCGACCTGGACGTGGTTGTATAGATCAGATATTCACACTACGTCAGGTTCTAGAACACGGACACATATTCAGACGCCCCACAATCGTAGTATTTCTCAACATTAAGGCGTCATTTGACTCTATTGATCGTGAGGTTCTATGGCAGTGTTTGTCACTGAAAGGAGTACCAAAGAAGTACACTAACCTTATAAAGGCTCTCTACTCAAACACAACTGGTCGAGTGAGAGCTTATGGCGAACTGTCATCAGAATTGATTACCTCAAGTGTTGTTCGTCAGGGCTGTTTACTCTCTCCATTCTTGTTTAACTGTGTCATTGACATACTTTTAGAGATAACACTTTCCTCATCTAAATTTTCAGGAGTTGAACTTTTACGGGGAGATTCACTTGTTGACTTAGAATATAAACGGAATACACTCATTATGACATTAAGAAAGAAAGATGATTTCAGCGAAGAGCTCTCTTTTTTTGGCGAGTTCATTTTCAAAGCTGTACAATAGCAAATATATAAACTTATTTTTACAGGGTGAAAAATAAGTATATATATTTGCGATTGTACAGCTTTGAAAATCAATTCACCGAAAAGAGGACTTAGAATATGCCGACGATATAGTTCTATTTGGTGAACACGCTGAAAAAATGCAGTCTTCTGACCACCATAAGCAACAATGCAATATATCCGTCTACCAACCAAAGGACGGGTTTGCTGCGCAGCAGTTCGTTCCGTCCTACTTTATGGCAGTGAAACATGAGTTATTTAAAATTGGAGGTTAGCACAAGCAAGTGTCCGGTACGCGCAACACATGCTCCATTCGTCTCATATAATTCACATCGTGAATTTCATGAGATAATTCATATACATTCCTTGAAGTCATACATATCACTTCCGTATATCGTACTTTATGATAAAAAATATGTACTGAGTCCACGCAATTAATGATAAAATAATTGAAATCTATTAATCTAGTTCGTTTTCGTTCAATATTTAATTTACATAATGGAATAGTACATTACTATTGTTTGGTATTTTCGAATATGTAAATTGTTGAATACATTCATTAACTTTTACATCCCTATGTCAAATGAAATACCACAAATTCTGCTGATCAATTTTTTTGCCAATTTTACCACGATTATCAATGTTCTCGGAAATTTTAAAGTTGGTAAAAACTCCCTTTTAGTAGTTTTATTATATTTGTGTAGAGAATACATGATAATAATTCATTTATCATAATGACAATGTTGTTAAGAAAACAAAGGATTCGGATCAATTGGTACATTTCCTAAACCTAAAAGACTAATTCTTGTTCCACATCTATTAAGCATCATCGAATTCTTAATTGCTCCATGTATTTATTCATGTAGATAATCATAACCTTAAACCGAACAGATTATTTTTAATATATTTGTTCGGCCTAGAGCCCTTCTAGGGTTCCAGAATCAATTACTCTTGCTAAATAAACCAAAAATCTAATTAAATAAAGAACCTCTAGTTACTTTAACACGAAAATAGAGGGAAATCACTCTCATTTGACAGGATAAGTTGGTTTTTATTGTCTACATATGACCACTGATCCTGATGTAATTAAACATTTGGGAAAAGCGTCTGAAAAAGCTTCACAAAATTTACAAATAGTTACGATGCTTTAAACAAGTTACTTTTCTTTCTACCTTTAAATAACACGAACTTATTTATGCGAAATAACAGTAATCAGATGGTGAACAGTTTAGTCCAGCTAAAAAAATCAATAGATGTAATTAAGATAATGGTACCTTGGATGCTGACAGTTAATATGATACACGTAATCCAAAGCTACAGACCCATCTAAATCGTTTAAATCAATAGAATCCAGTGTGTTATAATTTGATTCATCATAGACGGTCCCCCCAGGCTTCATCGTTATATGGATCGGTGATGGAGGCTTGAAAACATCATCCTCACCATAAGTTGACTGAATGTGATTATCGTAAGAAAAATTCTGGGTCGATTCAAGTTGTTCTGCTCGAGGTATTTCTGTCATCTTAGGAATTAAAAAATGTTAGATATTAGAATTGTAATCTAAAATTACACATTATCGTTTACTTGCTAGACATTTACAACAAGAAAATTGTCTAACATTGATGCATGAATTTCATGCAAGTTATAAAAAAAATCCACTCAGATTACGGAGAGCGCCTGAAGACGAAATCGTCGAACCGAGTAACATATTACCAATTCGCCAGTATAAACTGCTAAGGAGAACTCAGATTACTTACATGTTATCTTTTTTTCTTAAAGAATAATCTCGATGACATTTTTCTAAATTATATTTCAGTAGTGATCTACACTGTTATCAGATTAGTTGTTTTTAATTACAGTCTGCTAGTTGTCTTATGCATCCCAACGTCGATGAGTGTTACTTTGTAAACGGAGTTGCCAAATTTTTGATCTTTGATTCGAAAGATAAAGTTGTCCTAAAACGTCCCTTCTCTATTTGGTGTATGGATTATTAACGTTGAAGTGTTTTTCTTAGACGCCAATTCTGTCAAGTTCTCATTAGTCTTGTTAGCATTAAAAGATTCTCAAATTAACGTAGGCCCAACCTAAAATCAATCACAATTATATTATAAAACTTAAACAAACGACCAACCGACAATTGACAAATACAGATTAAAACAAGTTCGAGATCTACTTTCAGGTTCTAAAGTTTTTTTATTAGCGAAGTAGGCATATATATAATTTCGTTTATTGAATTTATATTCTTCTGCAAGAATGGTTATTGTTGGTTTATTAACTCTTGTAATAATAAAACAACCCTTAGTCTTATTAAGGTTACTGCCGCTCCCAAGTCCGGATAAAGGAAGACGGTTGAACATGCGGTTAGTAATGACATTCTGTGAAAAGAACTTTGCTAAAAAAAGACGCTGGCCGGAAAAATTCATTTTATTCATTTAGACTCTGCGCCGCAACTTGAAAGGTCTCCATTTATAAGAGTTATGACGCCTCATGATAAAAGCTGAAATTATTCGAAAATCACAAAGCCGATGCCCTTTCTAAGAACCAAAGCAATAATTAATATAGACACATGGAGTGTTCATACAGTGTGGGAGACCGGAATTATCATTAGGCAGTTGGGAAAATGAGAGTATACAACCTGGCAGTGCTTGAAATAAGTAACCCCATGGGGAGCAAGCTAAACAGTAAAGATAAGCTTCTGGTGGAGGTGCTATTTTACTCTGGTGATGAAAAAGAAACAGCTCACACAAGGAATTGCCCTGATGCTGTTCAAAGAAGTACGAAAAGCACTTGTAGGATGGTACTCTCATGGATCCAGTATCACCAAAGCACCCTCCAAAACAAGAAGGGGATTACAATGAATGTCGTTCAGTGCCATGGGTTCACTAATGACAACAGTGAAAACGATAAAGATTAGTTTTATGAGGGGCTGCAGTCGATTGTGGAGAAACCCCTCGAATATGACCTGACCGTTCTGACAGGAGACCTAGATATCAAGATTGGAAGGGACAATAGTGAGTATGAGGATATCATGGGACGACATGAATTGGAAGAAATTAACGAAATAGTCAGGGATTTGCAGTTATGTACCTCCAACAAAATAATTATAAATGGCACCATATTTCCCCACAGACGCATATACTAAGCTACATAGATTTCATTGGACGATGCCACAGAGAACCAGATTGATCAAATTCTCATCAATGAAAAGTTCGAAAGGTTCATGGAAAACGTAAAAATAAAGAAAGGAGCTAATATAGCTTCAGATCACCACCTAGTGGTGATCCGGATGAAAATAAAGCTGATGAAGCGTTAGACAATTAGGTGGGCAAAACCACGAAAGTTTAATACAGCTTTCCGTCGAGATATTGACAAACCCAACGAGTTCAAGATGGCTCTTATCAACAGGTTCCAAGCCTTACAAAATCTACTTAAAGAAGAGGAAACTAATACGGCGAACAACTGGAAGGGGATTAAGAAAGCACTTTAACGCATGAGAAGGTTCTGGGTCACAAGAGAAATCATTATAGGGAATGGATCTCTGTGGAAGCCCTGTGTGAGATTCAAGAAAGGAAGAACACAAAGACGGCAATTAACAATAGCCAAACAAGAACGGGGAATGTTAAGGCACAAGCTGAATACACGGGAACTAACAAGCAAGTAATGTGGAGCATGAAAACCGACAAGCGGAAATACGTGGAAGACCTAATAGTGACAGTGGAAAAAGCTGCAAGAGAGGGGAATATGAAACAACTATATGACAACGAAGAGACTAGTATGGAAATATAATAAACCAGAGTGACCAGTCATGAACAAAGAAGACAAACCAATCACTGAGATTCAAGAACAGCTGAACAGGTACGTAGAACGCTCTGAAGAATTCTTGAGTAAATTAGCCCCACTTACCCATCGAAGAAGCACCTACAAAACTTCCCATAGATGTAACCGTATCAGCAACTGAAGAAATCGGGATGGTTATCAGACAAGTCAAGAATGGCAAAGCAGCAAGACTAGACAGCATACCAGCCGAAGCACTGAAGTCAGATGTAGAGGTAACTACAAAAATGTCCCAAATTCTCTTCAAAAGCTGTGGAAAAAAGGACAAGTACCAATAGACTGGAATGGATGATACCTTATCAAGATGCTGAACAAAGGAAGTCTTTGTAAGTGTGAGAACTACGATGGCAACACTGCTATAATTGCCAAGAAACGTTTTTAAGAGTGTTGTCAAACCAAATGAAAGATTCAGTAGATCATAAACTTGAGAACCAACAATCTGGCTGTCGTAAGAGTCGATGCTTTACTGACCAAATCGCGACTCTGTGGATCGTTGTTGAACAATAAATGAAATATAATTCATCACTATACATAAACTTTCTTGACTATGAGGAAACATTTGACAGTGTGGGTGGGAGGACCTTATCGACCCTTCTTCGACATTGTTTTATGCATAAAGTATCATAATCATGTGGAATTCCTACAATGAGCTACACTGCAAAATCGTGTATGAACGGCAGTTAACAGATATATTTCAAGTGAAGACCAGTGTCAGACAAGGCTGCTTACTATTTCCTTTTCTCTTTCTCCTGGTTATTGACTAATTTATAAAGATCAAAGCTCAAGGGAAGCATGGAATACAATGAACATCTTGGATGTAACCTCCGCAACTGGCCTAGCTCTTCTATCCCATACACGGCAGGTGAAGACAACTAGTGTAGCACGAGCATCTGCAGTAGTAGGTCTCAACATTCACAAGGGAAAAAGCAAGATACTAAAATTCAACCAAATCACTTAATGGAGAATCTCTGGAAGCAGTTAAAACTTACGTACCTGGGCTGTATCATCGGTAAAGGGGGTCTAATGCAGATGTGAAAGAAAGAATCAGGAAAAAGGGCAGCATTTCATCGGTGTTTTGGAATATTAGATTTCTAACTGGTGATGCTCATAGATTTGTGCACATGTACATGTCTAGTCAGTACTACTATGACAAGTATGCAAATTGTACTAAAGAAACTCAGTATTATTGTTTATTATGCTAAAGTTCTTATTTCCTGTGTTTATGATAACAGCTTACTAAGAGAATCTAACGAATGGACCAGTTTGCCTATTTCGACTGTCATTTCATATATCTCTTCAGATGACTTGGATGTACCTTCGGAACAAGTGAGTCCTACGATTGTTGTTAGTTAGAGTAAATATTTAAATACGACCTTTCATATGAATAGAATTTTATCAATTGAGAGATATTAGAGATATGTAACTACCAATATATTTTTTATCCTTTAACAATTATTGTACATTGCTAGTTATCCTTGTTCACAATTTTTAAGTACAGCAAACTTAAATGCGACTCTACCCAACGGTTTAACAAACACAACAGTTTTTATCTACTCCGTTGGATTTTTTTCAGAGGTTTTCTTCACCTTAAATGGATAAAGATAATATCTGGAATTAAGTTGTAATAATCATAAAACTGGATTGGCCGAATGCACATCTTCGTATTTGTTGCTTAATTTATCGGATTTTCAATAGGAAACCCGTAATTTACAAAGCCTAATGATTTTTTGGTAAATAAAACCAATTAATGACTTTGAAGGATTGTTATTCATTGTTATCAATTGTAGAAAGCTAAATTAGTCTTTATAAACCAATGCCGATTCTTATCCTATGACCTGGAGCCAATGTGAACTATTCTTTAAGGTGTCAAGATTGGATACTACTAATAAATCTTAAGTGTCCAATCAGAGAAGAATAACATTTGTTAATAGTTGTTCTTTAATGTAAAGTGGCTGTAAACTAACCAATCTTTTAGAATTACATATCAAATTAACAATGTATTTCTTGAATATTGGTGAAAATAGACTTGGTAATGTAAATTCTAACCTACCACTACTAGAAAAGCTTCGAATTATCCTGTTTTTGATATTCTGGGTTGAATTTCGATCAGTCTTTGTTGGTGTATGTGCATCACATCTCAGCCCTGAATATTACTATGTGATGATATAAGCATCATACCCGTTGAACAAGTTAGTGGATATCTAAACTCAGTAGCTCAGTGGACAGTACGTTGGTGTCTGAAGCGAAATTTACTACATTCGGGTCTCAATGTAAATATCAATACTGGGATGCACGTGCACTCAGCTAATGAGTCCTAAATAGGACGAAGTGTGGATCCTGGAGTTAACTGCTAGCCGCAGTCCATTTATTCCATAGAAATACTGTTATAATTGCTACTACTTTTATATATTCAAGCGTTTTCATTCATATCTTCTTGAATCGTATTTTAGTTTGTATGGGATGCTTGTATTAATTGGGTCGACCAGTCTTCTGAAACACGAATTGTCTACCTCCCTCAACTACTGTCACATATTCGTTTGAAATATTTGGAAAAAGAAATGTTGGAAATTCAATTACAAGAAAATCCTTTAATTATTGTAAGAATACTTTACTTATATACAGCAAATGATGTATATAATTGAGTTCACAAAGCAGAATGTCATCTATATACTCAAAGATTTTTTTCTTTTGAAAAGGAAGCTAAATAACTAACGAGCTCAAGAAAACCAGAGACTATTAATCGACTGCTATGCTATTCTTTAGAACTTAGTATTGCTCAATTGTTGGATTCCGGAATTAAGATCAGGACCTTAATTTTCGTTTGTAGACAGTATAACTTTAAACCACTGAGAGGAAATCCATTTTACTTCACTGCTCTCAAAGTCAATCTCGTCATACTGCCAACCTCCTGTAATTTAGAGATTCGGATTTATTATTAAAACATAGTGGGTTTTTATCCTCTAATGAATGTTTCAAAGAATCCGAACAAACCCAAATAACACTTTTGCTGCTCTGAGAAAAAGTAAAACTGTACGACCAACTGAATTTTTTCAAAGTCATAATTTAATCATTTGATGTCTTCCAGTAGCGACTGTTGGTTATCTTGGGCTATCTAGCTTGCGTGTATCCGATTTATACATAAATTCATAAGAAAAAGTATATAAAGCGGAATTATTTCTCTGTAATGTTCTGTCATGTCATACTGGGATGTTAAGTTCTTAATATGTATGTTTATAATAATAAATATATTCTTTTCATCTTTTTGGCTTAAAGTCCTCATTCTTACCTCGTATTATTGATAAAGTAAATTGTGACACAAGTTTGCATATGTAGTTATGCTAATACTGGAGTTCGGGCTACACACATCATCCTGATCTCAAGTGATCAGTCATACGTCTTTGCATACTAATGAATGTTTTTCACTTCAACCTAGTAGATAATCCTTTTTCATTTAACGCAATGAGTGCTTAGTTCAAATCTCAATGAGAATAAATTCACTCACCGCGTTATAGGTACATATATATATCAATGAGTTCCAAATATGGATAAGTGCAGGTTACTGTGTTTCAGTTCTAATCGTTAAATGTACAATGAAGATGAAAATACAGTCGACATCAAGGCTAATTGACTGATCCACGCCTATGAGATAACTGTATTCTATATATGAATAATTTAGGTGATACAGTTGAAAATTGATTACGATGGTTCTGACCCATCGTTTATCTCTTTCTAAACCTAAAATTTACATTTGTCTAATTCTTTTTCTTCTCACATTTTATCAGTCTTTTTAAAACTTATGAATGTTCAATTCTTGCTTCTAAACTTACTTTAGGGCTTGGTATCACTGTCCATCTCTCTACTTTTCCTCTTGTTGACTTCTATCAGTTATGTTGACTGTGTAGTGTATAACAACTCAGGTTGATACTAATTTGTACCAAGCCCTACATTTTTAATATTTATCTACCAATAAAACCCGTATGTCAAAAAGGATTGATCAATTCTATGTTGAATTTCAAGAACGAGAAAAGTACATAGATTTAGTTTGTCTGTTTATTGATCATTCGAGTGAATAATATAAATGACCTTATTTCCCCTTTTCTTTTATTCCACTTACACTGAATGATTATTTTGCACACAGACATTATATAAATTTATACGGATTTTTCTCTGCATAATTTTCATTCACACCAATTTTGTTAATGGTGAAATATACAATTAGGTTACTGATTACATTCATCAGTCACCTTTCACTTTGGGATGTCCATTATACTTGTTCGTTTCGTAGTGTATAAGTTTTGGTATAAATTTATATCTTGGTGTAAATATATACAAGTTTTAAACAATACACCACATAGTTCTTATTGGTATATAAACCTAATGAAACTCAGTAAATCTTCAAATACAGTTTTATAAACTTTTTACAGACTGCAACATATATTAGAATGTTTAGATATCCCTATTTTATTAAATGTATAGTTGAGACTCATTTTCTTGTGCATATTTTGACTCAATTACAATTTTAAGCATATAACCTTATAAGCGGACTAGTTTTTATTTAAAAAGGCCACACGAACGCAGATACACTAAGTCTAGGGGGCTGTATAATATTCAAAATGCAAAAATATTTAGAATTGGAATGCTGACAAGTATCACTCACTAATAAAACTAGCGTTAATTTTGATTACAAATAAGTTTTCTAGAAAAAGAAGTGGCAGTTTCCAAGGCGAAGTGACTAGAATCTCTAGATTTAATCGCCCGTTTGTTTAACAATTATCATAATTATATAGTTTGAAGTGTAAACTACAACCTCAGCTTATCTTGTTTAGTCATGAAATATGGTGTTATGTGGACCAAAGCAGTACCTGTCTGTACTTAATATAAATTTATATGTATTTGGATTCTACCAGATTATGCTACTCCATATATTTACAATCCTTATCATGGTCCTTTTTGTCTGAATATTTCATGTTGCTACTCTTCTCAGAAATATTCTGAAAAACATGTTGATGATTGCCTAGAATAGTTTTGATTTATTAAGCGATTGTAAATTTTTGGAGAAAAGTAATCAAACTTTTAAATGAATTATTTTAGGAATGCAAAATTGCTCAGAATATCATCAGATATTTTCTTCACAACGCTTATAACGGTGATGATAATCCATCAATGTATGTCAACAATTTACCAGCTCGCCTAGCTACACTGAAACATCCTACGTTAGTTGTTTTAGGTGGTCTCAATACATGCATTTTAAATTGTATGCAGTCATTTTCACCATCTAGAACAGTATGGCATACTTGTCCTTCTATGCCCGTGGATAGTTTAGCGTGGTTCTCTGTGTCTGTCATTGCAAATACTCTATATGTTATTGGTGGAATTAAAGTGAGTTTTCTATTTGAATTTTTCAAAATAGTCACCAAGCTAGAATATTATTTGAAAAGATTTAGTGTTTTTATATATTTTGATTTTTTTTTAATGATTGCAAGCAACCACTAGGATGTTGTTTTCGGTCCGAGTTCTAGATGAATTTTTATTCATAAACAAGTTTTCCTGCGGTCTCGAGAACATTTACATTGTCTTCCTGTAACGTTCACTCCTGAGTCGTTAGTAAAGCTCATTAGCGATTGAGGACAATCCTGTATCAGCTACCACCGACTGACTAATTTATATAATTATTTCGCTTTTTATCAAGCAAAATTCTATAAATTTACATAACTTTCGTAGTGTAGTCTAATAATTACTATCTTCCAGTTTCTCTCTCATTGTTATCTATAGTGATAGCTGATATTCATCACTTTATCTTTTATGTAACTTTGATTTGGTATTTTAGACACGACTTTTACAGGTTTAAATCCCGTTCTATCTACCAACGGTTAAGCAGTCATATAGTTTGGTTAGCCACCATACACTAGATGTACTTCATAGCCTATTAAATCAGTTTGTTTCTTCCCATAGGCCGGTACACTCATGGATTCAGTGTATGCGTATTCACCTGTTCGATCTTCATGGAGTCAACGCAAATGTATGCCGCAGGCGAGGGCTCGGCATTTTTCTGTTTCTGTTGGTAGCCGGTACATTTTTGTATTCGGTGGTGTAACAATGTCTATAAACTCTAATCATCGACATCATTCATCAGATCGTGTAATTATGAATCATTTACAAGAAACTAACCCTTCGTCAAACAGGCGGAATTATGTTTCCTCGCGATTGTCAGCATTCAACCCAGTAACTGAATTAGATATTCCTACATTGAATTTTGAAAAATCCATCATTCGATATGATATCTGTAGCGATACATGGCTTAATGTAGGAGAAACGGATAATCCAAGACTAGAGTCACATGTAGTCTTGATTAATGAATCGAATGAGAATGCAAGTTTCAATCTACAACCATCTGATGGAATTCATGAGACGGATAGTGAACAAACTTCATTACGTTCAGATTTATCAGGTAAAGCTTTGTTGTAAAAAATTGAATGCATTACTATCATGATATTACTATTTTATGTCTCATGTTGCTGTCTTAACTAATAGATTTTCTTGTTGCTCGAATCGATCACATTATCATGCATTATATTTATTAATGGCAAATAAAATTCCCTATAATACCATTATATATGTACAACGAATGTAGATTCTGTTCTTGGTTAAGTTTATTTCAAAAACTTGTTCAGATATATCTTATAGTTCTGGAAATTTTATTATCGATACTTTCTTATGTAACATTTGTAACCAACATATTTATAGATTTCCAAATCTCAGTAACAACTGGTTTGTCAAATAGTTTATGGTCTTTAAATAAAAATTTGGAAATTGGTTCATTTTAAGTGTATTTTTTCCATAGACTAATACCAAATGAAATACTTGGTGTAGTGAGATGTTTCGTACTAACTCATCTGGATTACACCTTCATGACTACACACAATATCGAACTCAAAACCTTCAAGCACGATATACTTAGATTACTGAATATTCGTTAACAGAATCACTGAATTCCCAATATTGTACAACCATCATCTGATTTCTTCAATGAGTGATTGGTTCAATCACACTTCTCTATCCATCTCTACTTCACTAAGAATGTCGCGCAAGATATTCAGCCTGCAAATCTAAATTATTTTATGTGAACCTGGTCTCTTGCCTTTCAGTGTTTGACTGCTTAAGTATACTGTTTCATAACGCTCACCGTAGTTTATGTTCCATAAGTCCAATCGTTATTCTGAAAAATGACTTCATTTCACTACTCCTAATGTGGAATGTTCCATATGCATATGTATATGCTAAGTCAGCGGATGATCAATTTGATCCGGTAGTAACACTGGCCATTAAGGGTGAAAGATACTCGTAAGTTACTAGTATTTGACCACAGATGCCTTAGAAATATTGCTGGCGTCTTCTGGGATCACCGGGTAAGTAATAGTGAGGTTAGACGCAGGGTATTAGGGAATGATGGTAAATCAGTTGGTGAGATTGTAAATCTTCATCGACTGAGATGGTTGGGCCACGTGTTACGTATGCCTGAACACTGATTACCACGACGTCCAGTGCTAACCGGTGTTGGAGATGGTTGGAAGAAAGTTAGGGGCGGCCAAATCAAAACATGGCATCAGTGCTTGAAGTCACTAACTTCTAGTCTTAGCCATGTTGGTAGATGCAGACTACTTGGTTGGGGTCCGCGTGACTTTCGTAACCAATGGTTGGAGACTCTTGGTGACATGGCTCAGAATCGATCACAATGGCGTCGGTGTATACACTTTATATCTTCCCTTAAACTAAGAGATTAAAATCGCTTCATATCTTTCTTTCTACGAACTAATTATTTCTTCATGTACTATATCCTTATTGCAATCTTTCTTTTATATATCATCACCTCTGAATTAACTACTTTTATGAATCCGGTGTCCATCTTGTTGTGTTAATTAGGTATGGCAACTTGGACCGATGAATATATGTGCCTGGTCCTACGTTGTAGCTGACTGACTGGCCTAATGTAGTTCCATTTGGTTAAACATAAAATGGAGAGGAGGAATGATCCAGAACTGAAGTTAGAATAACTAAAAACAGAAAGTGACCAATGTTGTTTTTGTTACCATTATTATTATTGTGGTGACCACAAAGCACTTGAATGATTGTAGGTCAAGTCAATGGATAAGAATGAAGTGGCTTTTTTTGTAGATATTGTTCTACAAAATTATCGTCATCCAGGAAGACGTTTCATGTGTTTTAAAATACACTGGTCTCTATGTTGTTACATAGTTGTATCAGTTGGTGTCTACAGTGAACAATGGTAACAAAAATACAGGAATTCGATGAAACGGTTCGATTTTCGATGTATTGCTACATTCTAGACTAAATTAGATGACTTCAAAATTTAAAACAAAATGCTATATATAGAGACCTGTTTACAGTGAAAGCAAATCTGATTATCTTATTAAAGCCTAATCGTACGTGATATTATAGTTAAGGATCTCTAGTTACATAAGCCACTGTAGTTTCATTCGTTTACGATCTTTTTTACTTACATGTATTACATGCATATATGACAGATGGGGTATAAGTCATTGTTTAGGGAATGGATCTTTACCCGTTATATCATAAGTTTGAAAACTGGTTAATACCGTAGTGTATGAACTCGTGTATCATTGTTTGTTTATATGAACAATACAAAGTGTAAGTTTAAATCCATATTTTTAGAACAATAGTCAGTTAGTATCATCAAGGTGCATTCCGTATATGATGTGGTTACCGTATTCATTGTGAAATAAGTTATTGAATCTGAATGTCAGCATTTTTAGGAAATAAAGTAGAAAAGTGATACCATTATTTATGTGTTTGTAGTGGCGAAAAGAATTTGATAAACGATATGATCAATATATCTTCATAATTTTAGGCTAATGGCATCAGTGTTTAGGTTTGGGAATATATTTTTCCATATGTTAATAGTGTTCAATTCCGTTTTAACAGTTTATTTAGTAGTTATTCCGATTTCTTATAATATTAGATAACACATCAGTTTCAGAAAATAATATTACCAACAACAGTAATGGTACTAATCAAACCAATAAAACCCGTCGAAGAAATAATTCTATGAATGTAAATTTTGAACGTGTTTTTGTTGAAATCGGTGGAATAACTGAAACACAACCACATGGTACGGATCAGGTTGCTTTTTATCGTTTACGTCCTGATTATACAGTATTTTGCACCGCGGATTACATAAAACTCCCACAACAAGTTCGCTATGTGAACTGTTGTGTGCATCAAGTAAGTTGGTTGTTAACTTTCTTTTTTTCGTATATGAGTAGTTTGGGGATAAACAATAATTCCAACTTTATCGTGACATGCAATTTTTCTGGTTCACAAAACTCGTTCATTTCTTCCGGATAAAATATTCAATTATAACTAGTTAGTCACGATGTTTGCATCTCTTCAATTAATCTTTAGTTTTTTCTTAATCTGACCCATGGAAACAAATTTCACTCTTGTCTATTGAAGTCTATGAGAAAGTTAAGATTAATGTTTAACAACTTCATTTTACATGACTTTAGTGACAAGAATACGACCATTTACTAATAGAAAGTGAATAACATCTCGCTTTTCCGATACTTTTTAAAATTTTCTTCCTTTTAATTTTTGTCCATAGTATCTTTCACCAATTGATAGCCAGTCTCATGTTACCTAGTCATTAATGTTGAATGAGTTTTTAATGGCAACATCTCTGCATATGAAACTGGATGAATGTGGTTCGAACCCTACGGGATAATTGCAGACATGTCTAGTAGATAGGTAGAAACTAAGACGAGCTTTCTCCTACCTACCCTCAACCATCATAGCATCTTTATCTTTATTTAATCTCTATCTTATTAACATCTATGTTAATATCAAGTTTAGTAACTTTTACTTAATGTTTGAGTTTTAACATTTTTTGTCATCAACAATAGTATTTTAAGTCTTTAGACGTTTCCGAATATATTACACTTTATACCTTTGGTGTTTCCTATATTTAGGTTTGTAAATTAGGGTTTAACTAGAGATTTATTCATGTTCATATAACACTTTCTGGTTGTTATCCTTATTGATAAAATCGAAATTTCGAACTACTATATTCTCCTTACTTTATTTGTAAAGCGAGCTGGCTTTTCTTTGTCACAACTACATTAACTCCTCATTGTGACTAAAAAAGAACCCGTTTGTTTTTATAACCCTCTAAATTTATTAAAAACTTGTGGATTATTAAAGTTGCTAAACCGTATACTGTAGTGAATCCAACGTATATCAGAGATATGTGTTTGATGAAGGGATATAAAGTATCGCTTTTGCTAAAATCAGTGTGTTTATAAACGTTTTCTTGTTTAGCCATTTTATAACTTATTTGCTAACTGGTTCTTATTCAGTCAGAGTAAACAATTGGATCTTCACAACGGTCATCAGGTGTGTCTGAAATTTGGTTAAAATAAGTCATAATTTCGATCGCTGAATATTTTCTCCTTATGACACTTTCTGTATATATTTGTGCAGTGATAGGACGTTCACTTAGTAGTTAATGAACTGGATTTGTAACTGTTAGGTAGCAGGTTTAAGTCATTTTTTATTTACTTCGGGTTGTGGTATTGTATCACTATAACTTATGCCTACAGTGTTTCTCAAATACGAGTAATAAATCCGCGCCTAGTAATTAAGTTAATGCTTATCTGTCCAGTGACTAAATAAAAAATGAATTTAGTAGCAATCTTGTGTTTTATAGCTCTACAAAAGTCGTACATATTGCTGGAACCCCCATTTTTATAAACATTAATGTAATGTTGTATAGTCTGTCTTAATGATGATTCGTGGTCACTTTCCCCACATATACGTCGCCTATTTTTTTTTAGGATACCAACCTGGTGTATATATTTTGGGAATCAACAAGTGAATTGTCAGTTTTGGATCTTCGTCGTCACACACTACGCTCACTAGCTCCCTTGGTTTCTTCCTCCACTTCATCTCCAAACGAAGCGCGAATATATGCTGGGTTATCGTGGGTCGGAGAGCATTTATATGTGGTTGGAGGATTTAGTGAGTTTGTTGGTGATGATCGACGTCCTACTGTTCCACGAGATGATGTCCACTGTTATGATCCGACGACGAACACATGGTATGTTTTGTTTAGTTAACATAATGCTATATTTCGTTGTTACTGAATTACTGACTAGTGTTTTTCTTTTATTAATTTATTTACTGCAGGTCCTGCATTAAAGTTCTAAATACAACAGTCCCTCGAGCTATCTTCGGTTGTGTTTGTCTCAATATGTGATACACCAATATTAGGGTTGTACGAACTTCCATATCCTATATATATATCATAACAAGAAATATGTTTATTTGCATACCTATTACTATTTTAATGTGATACTTCCTAATCGTAGGACCTAAATATAAGGATATTTTCTGTTCACTTATTTTCATTTGTGATTTTTCTTCCTTTGAATTTTAACTGTGTCCATAATGCGACGACATATATTTGCTCTTTAACTTGCCAAATTATTTCCTCATTTTAATTGTCCCGCTGGTTCGGGTCGTACATTTCTTCTATGAGATATCACTTAGGTATTATTATCATCAGAGTGTTATCCATAAAAATGCATTTATACTGTTGTCAAGTTAATTTCGTTGTTTTTCATTTATCTAATAATGGAAGCATCTATGTGCGTCTTGTCAAATTATTTATTTATGGTATAAGACTCAATAGTTTTCTTTGGGAATTACCTTATTTTATAGTTATTTAATGATGCATGGCACTATCATTCCTATAATTGTCTGCTCATAGTTTGGAGCAGTAGAATTGCGGCTAATTGGTCGAAATATTTGACTTTCAATATCCAGGTAGAAGGTTCAGACCTCACCCCATATACCTTGGTTTCAGCACTAGATTTTATCATTGCCTCTCATGCTTAAAACGTGACTCATATCCAAATATATAAAGTTGACTCAGTGAACTACTTTACTATTTATATTATCCTGAGAGACTAATAGGGATACGAATCAATTTTTCCGTTCTGATTGAGTTCACGCTAGTTTTGAGCGACACTCATAACTGGTGAAATGCAGCCATTGATTTTAGTATCTAGCTACCTGATTTGTTCGATATTTTAATGGGTAGAAGACTAAGGAGATATGATTCATTTAAAATTTCACATCACGTAACTAGGATTCGGATTTCATGTGTAAACATTGCAAGGGATGTAGATATTATAAGTTTCTAGCGGATACCCAGGATTGGTATTTCCAAAGATGTATAATCTTAAATTACATGAAGTAACGGCCCCTAACGTCTCAGGTAGTTGTGCGGTTTGGGAGTATTTTACCGTTTGATCAAATTCCCTACTAGTATAACACTGAATTACTGCCTAATATTATTACCTTTAAGTAAGTCTAGTATCAGAAATGGTTTCCGTCCTACGAACTGCCTGAAGCTATATTCGAATGAACTGATTCTACGTTGTAGATGTTCGAAATCCTATAGTCGTGGCCAGTTGTTTCAAACTGCAGATAGGATTTCAAATCCAAGGTGATATCAGTCGTATATATGGCAGATTGTAGTCTTATATCATAGTCTCTTGGTTTTCTACTACAGAGAACAGCAGAAACAAACCAAGGATGAAGTATTGGAATGTATCCTAGGAGAAAACAAGTAAGGTATTGCTGGTAACTTTGGAACACTCCTTAGCCCTCAAGAAGAGATTCCGCATATTTCACAAGATCCAGTATAAGTATACACTTTTTCACTAAAAGCCATTGACATAAGTTTATACTGTCCTTTTTTACCCTTGCATCAAACATTCAAGTTGATGGTGGTTCGGAATGACACAATCTAACCCGTGTATGTTTACAACATGCCGTACAAAAGTTATTGTTGCCTGGTCTTAAAAACATTCGCTTGATACTTGCCTGAAAGAAATAAACCTTCCAAGCAGTCGTAGTGCAAGTGGCTTTCAAACTTCGAAGAATATGAAGATTATCAACGCAACCCCAGGAAGTGGCCAATTCCGTTGTTTTCAAACTCCGGTTCGGTATGATGTCTGTACAGACTCTTAAAGCTGTTATTTAAGTTAATTAATCCGTATTCATCACAAAAGTATCGCTTCTTTACGAAGTTAGCCTGAGACTTTATAGACCATCTGATACCTTGATCAGTCTAGTCAGTGTTTCGTCAAAACTTGTATCCGCTTCATTCAAGGTCGATTACCATTAGGGCCGAATTTCGGAAGCTGGTGTTGACACCACATTCAGATCTCGGCTATATGAGCGTAAGAAGCAGTTGGTAACTGTGGGTATTACTTATTGTCTTGTCAACTACCTATCTTGAAAACCAACTGTAGACTCATCTTCCTCTGGGATATTTTTTATGTATACGGCAGTTTATGTGCATCTAAACAGCTGATGCTTTTCTATCACTCCTCGCAACCATAAAGGTTTACATTGCAGCTGACTTCACTTGAGGTCAACCATAAAGTCGCATCCACTCGTTAGTTCAGACGAAGCTTAATATAGCATGTGAACCACTGGCGCAATTTGATAACAGACTGGGTTGTTAACAGATAAGCATTCAATGAGTCTATATATATATATATATATATATATATATATATATATATATATATATATATATATATACAGTGGACCCAAAAAACAGGTTTCCCCGGTTTACACATTATGTAAACAAAAGATACCATAGTCCTTCATTTCTTGGAACCCTCGAGGTGCATGCACTTGTTTCAATCCAATACCCGACCAGACCATATTCGTAGACTAAGAAATGACCAGTGGTTCGTTGCTATAATGGATAATATCGACCTATACATGACCGTTGTTGATTTATGACAGAATTCCTAAGCCATGTGCCTCAGTGTTTTAAACTGCTCTTAGTAGAAAGTACTACTGTCAGGAAAAATTTCAACAAGCCATTGCAATCACTTATTCACCAGACGCCTACAAAACATCTCTATATCCCTTCAGTTTCCCGAATTGAGCAATGTTTATGTGAGTGTTTGACAATTGTGATTAGGAGTCCAAATCATCTGCGTCCCAACCGTGATATATGTAATAAGAATAAATAGATATAAACCGGTGTCCTTATTTCCGCCATGTTCATACTGAGCGATCTATTAATGTAGTATGGTTAACTAACAGATGAGACGTAGTGGATCCTTAAAATTTCTGAAATACCTAAACTCACAAGTTTAAACGGTCAACGTTCTCTAACCCAGAGTTCTTAGTACGATGAAAGAACATCGTTTGAAACAGTAGGGTGAAGGGAACATTTTGCTATCGTTATATGTAAGGAAAACATATAACTGTGTCTAAACCATTTTGCTGTGGCCCGACTACTCATTCGCTGAAAAAGAATTTCTTTTTGTAAGCATCTCTAAGGCTTATTGGTTTTGTTACTTTGGGCTTAGTTGAAGTGGATCCCGAGTACCCTTCTGAAAGCATATCTTGTTCTTAACAAATGAATCTCCAATTCCTAATTCTGACAAACCTATTTTACGAAGATGAAACGATTGTAAAATAGAACCAAGTTTTCAGGACAATCCCTGAGTATTTTATTTGTGTCTATTAAATAAAGAAATATAATTTAGAGCATAAAGTTTTTCGTATATATATAAGTGCATCGGTAGCTAAACAAATGCGGGACTAGAAACACAGGAGTTTCAAAATGGGTTCAGGTTGTCATAAGAAAAAAGTTTGTACACTTCGTGTACACAGTTGCTTTCAAATAACTATTAGGAATTTGTTTCATGAAAAAATGGCGAAACAGTTAGTTAGTTACTTTGTACTTATTAATATTGAAAGATATCATCAATATCTGATGAATCAATTTACGTACACTGATACCATAATAAGAATATGACAACAATGTTCACATAAGATGCAGTATTGAGTAAGTTTTGATTGGAGTAATACACAAAAAGTAAAAAAGCAAATAAATCAACAAGTTGGATATAATCCCAGAGTAACCTCTGAGAAGTGACGGATAAAATAAAGATTAGCTACATAATTAAATGAATGTGCAAGACAGAAACAAAAAAGTAACTGAGGGCTGTATATCACGTCTGTGTTCTGCAGTGAGCGTTTCCTAAAGAAAAAAACATCATGACGTTACTCCAAAGCAGAGTACATAATGACCTGCTTTAAAACTTTGGTTTGACTTGTCTCACGGATTTCTCCGGCCAGAAACATTTCATCAACAACGCTGTACACTTTATAGAAGTTAAAGACGAGGTCCAATTCACAAACATTGTGAAACAGTTCGTTCAAGACTTCTACAAAATTATGGATCGCTTCTAGGTATGCGAGACTATTGTCCATTAGGTCTATACACATACAAAAGTACAAGCCAGCATAACGACGATAAACTATCTTGAAATTTCGAAATTCAACAAAGTTAGTATGCTTGGCATCTCGTACAGTGACTAAGGCATGAACTTCTTCAATAAGTTTTTGTTTCTCCTCATCATCAAGATTCATATACCATTTAGCCAAGCGAGTTTTGCCGGCTCTATTTTGTATAAGAATAAACCTAATCATCAGCAGTGTCCTTGAAAACAAAAGTGGCTCTCAATAGTCTTTCGGCACCTTGAAACAATATAAAATGTTTCAAATGATTATAGACTTCCGCCAATGTTTGTAATTTTGCACAAGTCCTTTATGTTGTATTTCGTTTTAGTCCATTCTCACGCTATTGATCACCTTGTATATTTTTTGTTCACAAATCTCAGGTTTACTTATAAACCTTTGTAGCCACGTTTCCTAATAACAGTGAGTTGAAAAATATAACCTATTGAAATGCAGTTGGTATAAAAGGTTGCTCTTGAAAGTAAATATTCGTACAAAACTTACTGTAACGGAAAGAGAACAGTGAAAATCCCTCTGCAGCTTCTTCGTTGAACGGTATTTTCATTTATTTGTTCCTTCTCCCTTTTGTGTATTCCAACCTTTGTTTCGATCTCGTTTAACCATGTCTTTTGTTCTTCAGTCTTCCCCGTTTGAGCCTTTATTATGTGATTTTGATTAAAAACTTATTTTTGTTACCTAATTTTCTATTGCATGTTGTTGGACCATTGACAGTAAGGTTGTGTTTGACTAAGCTCAAGGTCACGGCGTGGTTCATTTTGTGACTGTTAACCTTCTGACTGTCTGCTTGGGAGAATTGCTGCAATCCCTGCAGATAGATATTTGATCCCATCTTATTGGGAATATTTGTATTGATTCTCAGGTATCAAACCCTTCAGTATTAACTGTCTGTTTCATTGTTTAGCGCGCTACTTTGCGTCAGAGGAACTTCTGACTGTATAGCACAGGCTGTACCGTTTGAGGTATTTTGTATTTTTGATGTAATTTGTTCTGTTCTTTATTAGAGCCGTTTATATTGAGCACAGAGTTTGTGTTTTGATATAATATAATACGAGTATCTCAGAGACTCGTTGTGAGCTATACAGAGGAACTTGGTCTGGTCTAATCGAATAAATTTTGGGTCCGTCAGACCGAATATTGGCTGTTCGGTCGTTACACTCACTTTATACGAAAGATGCTCGAAACCTAACTCCCATTGGCTTTTTAGGTTTGGCTGTTCGTGTGAAATATTACTGATCCAGGAGGTGATAGGCGTTTCGGTGTTGACCGGTGAAAATTGACTGTGGCTTCACTGGTTACATGGTTACTGACAACGTCGTGTGTTTCAGAGTAGTAACTGTTGTTCAAAAGATGCCTGAATTTAAATCCTGTGGCTTTTGAACAATTTAGCATATATAGTTGCGTGTGAATGGATCAGCAACGCTGCTCCGACAAAAACGGCTTTTATCCGAGGCCGTTTCAGTGGTGAATCCTACTGAAAGAAGTATTAGCAAGCATAATCGAGGCATATCGAATAGTATTCGTTCGGCCAATACGTAAATAGATACGAAGTTACCTCGAATAACCTCAGAATCAATTTACTTACATAAGCCAATGGAGGAAGGACGGATTTCAAAAACGTTTGCCAGAAATAAAGGCTCAAGAAGAGAAGATTCCTACATCTTCGACCTCCAGAACGGCAGGAAACGCCTAGAAAACTTAGATGCAGGCTGGGTCTGTGTCTGGCCGGAAAAACAGCAACCTGACTACCTAATTCATCGACCCTCACGGTTCCACAGTGTATGCAAATCGACTGCGATCACCACTCCAATGAACGTTGATCAATTGGTATAGATCATGAATAAAAAACAACGTAGTGTTGCTAAAGAAAAGCCAGTTCCACAAACAATAGCTAATAGTCAGTATATGATATTACTATCGAAAGGCGTAAACACGATTTTCAAAGAAAACAAATCCGATACTGGTTTTATTATTCGAAATTTGGAGCAGTCTAAAAAAACAATGAACCTGTCGAAATACATGAAGACGATTTGGATCTAATTGAATCCGCCCTCAGAACTTTATTACCAGAATTGGTCTCATGGGTAAATATCACGAAAATAGGTTCGGTAAGTGGATTGCAGGCGAGGCTCAACAAAGAATGTGGCTGTATATAAATTCCCAAAATAAATAGCTCTGTAGGTCCTCGACATTGGATGCTGACCACATTAGTTTAATGGTCTCATCTGGCTGAAGGCGCTCGGTTATGCATCCTCACCACATCACGAGTGGGAACGCCATGCTCAACAACCCCTGCAACTGCTAGCCAGTCTAGATCGGTCGATCCTCGATATATTGATAGCCTATCAGATATATCTTCGAACCTCCTTGCTTCTGACTTTCGATTTCACCAGTTGAGTACGATTCATATTAGGTGTTACTGGTTAAAGCGTTGTCAAACTCCAAATTCCTGTGGCATTTTCATTGATGTGCTGCCGTGATCTGGTACATCAACATGCAAACTGTGAGTTTGTTCCTTTTTGGAATTTTATGAATCATTTCTTTGTTTTAATTTTTATATACTGTGATATTACCTTTGTGTTTTTAAATATTTTTCCTCGCTCATTCTTGTACTCTATATGCGCCATGACGGAATAAACACTTAAGGTACTTATGTTAAAGACTGTGACTCCACCTTCCTTTCAGCTAAGGCTCTTTTGGCCGGACAAAATCGGAGCCTGGTTCTGCCACTCGGAGGCCGACTTCCACGAGCATGGCGAGAACGACACACCTGCACAATTCTTCGCTCCAGTCAAGGCACTAATGCGCGAATTCAACAGGTACGTAACACCTAGTATGCTTACTAGTGATGGTTCGGAACCCTACAAAACTGTTAAATGATCTACTCTTAAACGAGGAGAATTAACAGGTTGACAAGGGTTGGATCAACTTCTTAATAATATTGATCTGCAACACGGTTCTGCGACAGACATGTTGCTAAGAAAGAGAGAGGTGATTGGCCAAAGAACTTTCGATGACGGCTTATTTAGACAACTTTTCTTATCTAAGCTTCTTCAGCAGGTGCAACTTGTGCTGGTCTCGTTTCAAAACAACACCGTAGACGAGCTGGCTGCACCTACCGACCTCATCTTAGAAACCATCAAATCTTCTAACTTCGAGGTTTTTTCAGTCAGTGACATAATAGAGTTAGGTCATAAACTTGCGCGTTATCTTATTCTTCGCAACGACCGTAAGCGATCACACACCCCACGCAGAAGCACTCCGCGTAAGTGAGCTGTCTCTAGATCACGAAAGACGGATAAACCCGATTGGTGCTGGTATCATAACCAGTATGGAAAGTCTTCCAGAAATTGCAGAAAATCCTGCAATTTTACAAACTCAAGATCGACCGACACGAAAAACATTTCAGGGAACTTCCCAGCCGACACGCGTTAACGGCAACCGTAGCCAGCAAACATGGCCGTCTGATATACGTCACAGATGTGATAACGAAAGTTCTCTACGTTATCGAAACTGGCGCAGAAGTTAGCGTTCTTTCAGAAAATTCTAACTTGTGTTACACCTAAATTATTTTCTCAAACTCGTTTTGTCTTCACTATGCATATATGACTCATTCATATTGATATTTCATTATCTTTTTTACTTACTTGACACTTTCATAGTATCACTCCAAACTATGACTGCACAAACATTTATTCTATCGTCATATCTTACTGCAATAATACGTTTTTTTATTAATTATTTTCGATTTTATTTTTGTTACTAATTTGATGGTACATACATAGTCATTTATTCTTGTTATGTGTTCATAAACACGCTTATTAAACAATTTGCGCATTTCACGACTTTTTTATAACTATTACCATATTTACTCCCCTTCCTTCTTTCAAACTAATTCAATATTCTTCTCAATTACACAGAACTAGATTTATTTTTTTTAATTGTTTCTTTTCAAATATGGCAAACATAATCCTAACATCATTGTAACTTGTGTATTATTGCATTTCTAAAGAAACCCGAAGTGGTTTCTTCACAACACTTATGTACCCATGAGATGCTTGTGGATAATAATAATAGACTTACAGGTGGAAATCGAAAAGCCAGTCGCCACATATGGTAAAAGGTACATTTACCTTAACGTGGAATTACTCAGACCCATTCACTGGATCTTCATCGTTGAAGATGTTTCTGTGCCAATCATTGGTATAGACCTCACTCAACAACATATTTTACTCATCGAAACGCGTAAACGGAGGCCAGTAGACGGAAGCTTCTTTTTCCGGTTGCAGATAATCTCCTGTTACAGTTAGACACACGATATACCCTTTCTATCATCCATTACTAGATAAGTATTATGGGATATACCAGCAACGTTACACATCATATCACGACTAAAAGACCTCTCGTGTTCTCGAAAGCGTGCCGACTGACTCCCGAAAAGCTGAGGTTGGCCAGAAACGAATTCGATCACATGGAAGAGTTAGGGATCATTCGACAGTCAAGCGGCCCATGGGCATCTCTTGCACATGCTCTCTAAAAAACAGCAACGGTTGGCGTCCGACTGGTGACTATCGGCCACTGAATTCAAAAACAACTCCCGACCGTTACCTGTTGCCCCACATTCACGTTTTGAAAGCTACCATGAAAAGTACAACTTTCTTTTCAAAATTCGACTTAGTTAAAACGTATAACTAAATTCCCATGGCCACTAACGACACTCCAAAAACCGCTCCCGTTACTCCTTCGAGTGTTTACGAATTTTTGCGCATGCCTTTCGGTTTAAGAAATGCTGCCCAGAAATTCCAAAGTTTCATAAATGACGTTTTCCGAGGTCTCGACTTCACCCATGAGCATGTTGATGACAGCCTAATAGCGAGACCAGACAGAGAACCGCATCTCCAGCATCTGGATCTTGTTTGTGAACGACTAAAAATCATGGCATTATTGTAAACACTCAGAAATGTCTAGTCGGAACTGACTCCTTAGACTTCCTAGGACACACTATCGATGCACAAGCCATCCGACCCCTTAGAACCAAAGTGGCGGCCATTCCGGATTACCCAAAACCTACTTCCATCGTGCAGTTACACATGTTTAACAGCTTTGTAAGTTTCTGTAGACGGTTCCTACCGAAACTGCTACCCGACCAACTTCGTGGAAATGCGAAATCCATC